AGGACCAGTGTAGGAGGCGGGCTGGAACAGTGACTCAGACTGGACAGGCGGCGGACACTCTAAGGAAGGAGCAGGACCAGGAGAAGGCGGGAGACAAAGAACCTGCTCAAGGAGCGGAACGAAGTACGGCCGCGGCCGCGCAGCGCCTCCAGAGCCAGCAGGGACAGCACCAGCACCTTCAGCGGCAGCACTGCCAACCCTAGCACCCTCAAAAGCACCAGCACCAGCACCACCTCCAGCGCCAACACCCCCAGCAGCTCCAGCTCCAACCGGACCACCGGTAGACCCAACAGCCACAGCTCCAGCAACTCCAGTAGCACCCGCTCCAGAAGCACCGCCAGCGGCTCCAGCACCAGGAGCACCCCCAGGCCCAGCAGCTCCAGTTACTCGAGTACGAGCACCTCCGGGACCTGTGGCACCAACACCCTCAGTAGCAGCAAAACCTCCAGCTCTTGCAGTACCTCCAGCTCCAGCAGCACAGCTCCAGCTTCAAGCAAACCACTCGCGTAGCTTCTGTGGAGAGGGTAGCTCCCGCCGGGACGAAGCACCCGAGGGACCTCCAGACCCAGTACCGCCAGACTCCACACGAGCAGGCCCAGCACCCTCAGGCTCCGCACCCCTAGGCTGAGCACCCCCAGACGCAGCGCCCCCGGGCTCAGCACCCCCAGGCTCAGCACCCCCAGTCGCAACACCCCCAGGCTCAGGACCCCCAGGCTCAGCACCCTAAGGCCCAGAACCCCTAGCAGCACCAGAGTCAACAGCTACCTCGACAGGCTCGACTGCGTCTACTTGGGACACACCTAAGGGGGCAGGACCCTGAGGGGGAAGGGGGTCTACCAGATGGGGACCTGGCGCGAGGAAGAGCGGCGGCGGGGGGAGGGGCGCAGTGCGGTAGGGGAAGAGATGGTAGTAAGGAAGCGACTCTTCAAACGTGACGTCCTGAGAGGACAAAACACGGCGCGAGGTGGGGTGGTAAAACTGCCAACCTGGCGCGTCACGGGGGAAGCTAAGGAAGACGCAGGGAACAGCACGGGGGACAGCTTGCCCGCAGACAAGTTTCAGACAAAAGCCCGAAATCCCCAGACACGGAACGCAGACGCATCGCCAACCTTCCCTGTCCACCGCAGAGTAGGGGAGGTCTCCGGCAAGAAGACCTGGGGCTGAAGGTTGATCTGATGCGCCGCGTACTGAACCACGAACGGCCACAGAAAATGGGGAGCAGCCGCATGAATCATGGACGTACGAGCGACGTCCATGACCATGCCAATGCGGCGCTCAGCAATCCCATTTTGCTGTGGAGAAGGTCAGAGGAAAACTCTCCGCCTCTATCAGAGTGCAGACGCAGAACAGGAGGCGAGGTGCGCGGATCCAGTCGATCAACACCTCGGTGACGTCACCCTTGCTGCGCAAGGGGAAGACCGTGGTGTAACGCGAGTTGTCGTCAACCACCAATAGGAAGTAACGCTCGTGGCCCTGGCCACGGACGCGGGCGGGGCCGCACACGTCCATGTGAAGAGTCTGCAGCGGAGCCTCAGTCGGAGGAAACTCGGAGGTGTGAGGAGCGGCGCGCTGCCGCCCCTCGACGCAGGGAACGCAGGTAGGGGCAGGCCCTGGAGGGAGGGAGGGAGGGACCAGGGGAGACCAGCGACAAGGTAACGGGAGGCCATGCCTCGGAGACGAGGCAGGGAGGGGTGACCAAGGCGGTGGTGCCAGAGGAGGGTCCGGTGGGACAGGAGACGGCACGAGCAGGGAGCAGACTCAGGACCAGACCTGGACGCTGCAGCAAACACCTGACCCGACGCAGCTACCTGACCAGACTCAGCAGCCGGAGGAGACTCAGTACTCAGTGTGTATAGGCTTTACTCTGGCTGACGGGTAAACGTGGCCAAGTGTCGGCCCGTCCGAGCACACGTACAGTGGGTCACCCGCTGACTCGCAGGAGTGAACTGGTCAACCCCCCCATCCTGTAGATCAGCACCACTCACCAAGTTCGTAGAGAACGAGGGGAGGTAGAGACCTGACAGGGTGCCAGAAGGGGCCACTGGACACGGTAAGACAGTGGAGAAGTGGGCAAGGACAGGACCCCCAGAGGGGTCTGCCAGGGAGACCGCAACTGGCCGACTAAGCGGCGTGAGTGTGGTGCGGTCTCGAAAGAAGGAGCGGGAAGCACCCGAGTCAAGGGTGAAGGTGTGCAAGGCCTGAGCCGACGTGGTACATGAGAGAGCAGACTCACCAGCACCTGGGGCAGCAGACTCAATACCACCTAGAGCAGCAGCCTCACCAGCACCAAGAGCAGCAGCCTCAATGCCCGGGTCAGGTGACACACACAGTTAACAGTCACCCTCATCACTAGTAGACACAACATACATGGCAGCAAGAATAGCATCATAATCCAGATCAAAGATAGCAACCCCCGACCTAAGCAGCTCGCCCTAGCGGGGGATCTCAGTGGCGTCAGGGAACTGGAGACGCCAAGCGTCCGTCAGGCGGCCGAAGCAGCGCTGGGTCGTGTGCGGGCCACCGCACGGCTCACCAGTGCGGTTGCCGGTACGCAGTACGTAGGCACAAGGACCAGCACCCCCACCCCGCTGACGCGTAGCGTACCACTCACGAAGCTGCTGGGGGGGCGGGGTCTCACGAGTGCGCTACTTCTGTTGGCGCTGACCAACACCGAAGCTGCCCCGCTGCGCAGAGCCACCCCGACCAGCTCCACCTCCGCCGCCGCCACCTCCGCCACCGCCGCCACCTCCGCCACCGCCGCCACCGCCTCCTCCTCCGCTCCCACCGCCACCGCCGCCTCCGCCTCCGCCTCCACCACCGCCATCGAAGCCCCCACCCCTGCCACCACTCCCACCGTCACCCCCACTCCCTCCACCGCCTCCACCGCCACCTCCACCGCCCCCGACAGCCCCTTCAGCGCCCTTGCCTCCCTTGCCCTTGCCGGTGCGGCGTCTCCCGCTAGGGGCAGACGCAGCGCCGACCGACTCGGTGCCAATGAAGTCGACGGCAGCAGCAGAGGCAACAGAGGGCAAAAGTGGGGAGGGGGAGCACCCCTCAAAGAAGGGGGTACGAGGGTCACCATGAGAGGCTCCTACAGCGACTATACGCTTCTCAGCTGCTAGGAGGCGCTCCTCGAGGAGGTCAACAGTGATTGTGGTGGGGCAAACAGAGAGGAGGTGGTCCCTGACCGAGCGAAGGGAGTCAGGGAGCCGGGTGACTATGTAGTAGAGGGTGATGTACATGGGGGGGGGGGGGGGTTCTTGGTGCAGAACTCAGCAGGAAGCGCAGCACGGTAGCGGGTGTCACTAGTGCGAAGGTGCGTAATGAGGTCAGCGACTGTGGGAAAGGCGGCGAGGTCAGGGAACAGGTACGGCAGCATGAGGCGACTAAGGGCAGCAGTGGCAGGGGAAGAGTAGCGTGCAACTACAGCATCGTACAAGGTCTTAGCACTCTTGTACTAACTAGAGTGCGCGCGCTCAGTGGACGGCAAGTGACTACGCACAGCAAGACGGGCAGCAGCATCGCGTGTGGCCCACTGGGAGCGAACAGTGCTGTCAGCATTGGCAGTAGGGCAGGAGAGGCGCCAGACGTGAGATCGAACAGACATCAAAGTCAACATCCCAACCCTCAGCATCAAAGGTGAGAACGCTAGGGGTAGCCATGACAGCAGCAGCAGTAGGCTAGTAGCAGTAGCAGCAGGCGCGGCTCGGCGGTGCTCTTACCAGGGCGGGTGGGTAGAGGCCCGCAAGTGGTGGGGCAGGGCCGAGGCGCGTTGGCAGGAACAAGGCCGCGACTGCGGCAGCGGCTCCTGCTGTTGGCGGCGGCGGCGGTTGCGGCCCCGGGAGCGGCAGCTGCGGCGGTCACGGCAGCGGTGGCAGCAGCGGCTGCGGCCACGGCAGTGGCGGCGGCGGCTGTCACGGCAGCGGCGGCGGCGGCTGCTGCTGACGGCGGCGGCGGCTGCTGCTGTCGGCGGCGGCTGCTGCTGTCGGCGGCGGCTGCTGCTGTCGGCGGCGGCTGCTGCTGTCGGCGGCGGCGGCTGCTGCTGTCGGCGGCTACTGCTGTTCGCGGAGGAGCCGAGAAGGGGCCGCTAAGGGCGGCGAAGTGGCCACGAAGGGCCGTGAAGGGGCCGCGAATGGCGGCGACGGGGCCGAGACGGGACCGTGAGGGGCCTCGAAGGGCGGCGACGGGGCCGAGAAGGGCGGCGACGGGGCCGCGAAGGGCGGCAACGGGGCTGTGAAGGGGCCGAGAGGGGCCGTGAGAGGGGCCGCTACGGGACCGTAAGAGAGCGCGACGGGCCGCTTAGGGCAGGGGACGCGACGGGAGGGCAGGCACACGGGGCGCGACTCGGGCAGGGACGAAGCGCGCTCCGGGCAGGAAACAAAATTCGATTTCCGGTGGGCCCTAGGAAACGTTCCCACTAGGGAACCTGCTCTATACCATGTGAAAGAACGAGGAATGATTGACTAAGGAATGAATGTGATACAAATATGAACCCTAGAATTGTGTACCCCTTAGTATCTAACCCGCTACAGCCTACACAGGCTATATCATATAAGTCTAACAGGCATGTCCCGGTGGTGCCATCGAGTAAGGTGGCGTCTGAAAAGGAGAATGAGAGCTGCGGGTGCAAAGGGGAGTGTGTTGCAGAGGCTGCTGCGGAAGTGAAGGAGCTGAAAGCTACCGTGGATAAGCTAATGAAGGAGCTGCATAAAGTCAATGCTCGACTTGCAGCAGCTGAAAAAGGAAGTGCAGCAGCGGCTGATGATAAGAATGGTGTAGAATCCAAGGGGAGTAAGTGCATTGTTGCTGTTGCGGATAAGGAGAAGGGAGTGTACAAGGGTGACACTCATGAGCAACAGAAGCTTTGTGTCGTGGTGCAGCCGAGGGTTGAAGCTGCTAAGGAGAAGACAATGATGCAGAACTCGGCAAGCTTTGTAGCTGATGGGTTAATGGTGAAAGAAGAACCCATGGTGAAGCTGAGTTTGGGGGAAGCTGGACTTATGGGGGAGCATAAGAGTGCCTTCCCAAAAACTAGAGTTGGGATCGGCAACAAGGTAGAGACGGTCCAAGGGGAGCAGATTGACAAGGATGATATGGTCCCTATGTCAATGGTGGAAGCTGTGGAGAAAATTATCGAATCCACTGACGGTGGTTGTGGGTTCGAATAGTCGGCAGGTTGAGGGGGGGTTTGTTGAGTGCAAAATGTGGTTTGCACGTCAACCTACGGCCAATTCGCTAACGACAAAGGAAAATGAGAGTTTTTGTTTGAAGGTAATTTGCGGAGTGTGAGGAGCACATTTGTGTGCTTTACATTTGTGCATTTACGGTTTGTGAATCGCCTTAGCGGTTCATAAGTTACATGCATTTTTATGTGGGTGCATTTCATGAATATTCATGAATGTTCATGAGGTTCCGTGAGAGCGCATGAGTTCTCGTGAGTTTCGGTAAGTTCGCGGATCTTCGCGATTGCTCATGAGTCTGCGTGTGCGATCATGATTTCTCATGCGTTTTTGTGAGTTTTCATTAGAGTTCATGAGGGTTCATATTTTTGGTGCATTGTAGAGAAAGGCGAGTGTTTCGCCGCGTTGACTGAGTCGCGCTGGTCAAGATCAACCGCGCGCGAAGGTCAGGACCCGCGCGTGGGGTCCTGACACTTGCGTGTGGCCGGGCTCGCGCGTGTGCTTCGGAACTGTTGCGAGCGTGGCAGGGCCCACGATCGCAACAAGACACGGCACATTACTGCCCTGTCTCGCGCCAGAACAGCGCACGATCGCGTACGCGATCGTCCTATCATGCATGACCGAGAAATACAGATGTTCTGGCTTAGAGGCCCTTCCTAAAAGAGTCCCATTTCCTCAACGAGTAGATATTTCACATAAGTCCTAGGTGTATCCCCTCCTCTACAGTCCCAATTTTGGCGGGAAATCTTGCATCTTGACTGAATCATTGGGCGAATCAGTTATGCAGCCAATCAGAGGACGCAAATTGAACCTGTCAGAACAATAAGAGAAAATAAAACGAAAGGAATTTTTGATTCAATATTTAGTTCTAGCAGTTGTGTTTGTCTGGTTATCTTGACCTCTCTTGCGTCTACATCCTGTCGCGCGGCTCCCCGCGAGCTCCGACGATGCCATCTCACTAATCTCGCTTACAATGTAAAATAGAAAATGGTGTCTTCATTCCGGCCTTAAACCTAATTTATTTTGTATTTTCTGCCCGTTTGTCCTGCGACACTGATCAACACGGCGGGCCGTGCGACGAGAAGTTGAGGATAGCGTAGTCCGAATGTACGTATGTGACAGAACAACACGAATAGTAGCAAAAACAAATCGCTCTTCATGCAAATTTCGTTTTATGGGACTACGAGTTCCCTTTTGCCCGGGATTTGTGAGTTTTCCACAAAGGCCCGCAGCGCGTGTGTTTTTCACTGGGACTCTAATCGGGAACATCTCGGTCATGCTGGCTGGCACGTGGGGAGCTCGGGATTTACAGTTGAAAAACTGTATCCCGTGTTGACTTGGCAAACATGAGGTTTCGCAAGAAAGTCACGCTACTTTGCGAGTCACGCTACTTTGCGTGATCATTTCGACAAAGGTACGAAACGGTAAATGCTGTTTTGCAACGGTAAATTCCGTTTTGCAACGGGAAAACGGTTTTCCCACACGAGGCTTCATGAGTGTTAACGGGAATTCATGAGTGCTCGCGAGGGGAGTCAGCAGGGGCATTTGGATGAAGTGCCATTTGAAATCAATTATTCTAATGAAGCGGATCAAGCCAAATGCAGCTGAAGTTTGACAACCGTTTTACCAAGACAACATGGCGAAGTCTTATATTACAGTTTTATAATTGTTAAATGCTTGCCTTGTGTTTGCTTAAGTTCATGCTTAGTGCCTTCTATAAATGCGTGCTTGTGTTTCTTTGAAATCAACTTTTTGGAGTGAACATTTTCTCTATCGACGTATTGACGCGAGGAGAAATTTCTGCATACGAGCCAATCAGTCGTTATTGCTTCCGCAATTGTGCTTGGGAGTGCTCCAGTGCACACGATTGTTTTCACGTTTGAAAAGTCCTTCAACAAACACGTGCCCTTGGATAGGGGCTGGTTCCACCAGGCACCCAAGGACCCTTGGAGGTGACCCTGTGAGGACTATCTAGCGTTGATTAAAGGTGTGCTTAGAGCTTCTAGGTCCCAAATAGCAGTCAACACGAACCCCCATTACGTCACTATTGCGACCTAAAATAGGTACGTCAAAGGTTCTGCACATTAGCAAGACTTGAGATGACAAATACCAATCCTAGAAAACGGATAAACATCAATAGCCTCCGGACAAACACTAACAGTAGCAATCACACAGAGCGGCAACCACCTGCCATGCGGAATGGCCAGGAATTACGCAACCTACAAGAAGAACACACAATTAGCAAAATTCCTGCCTCTCACCACATGTTAAGAAGCCCTTGAAGACTCTTGTCATACGATTCCTGCGTAGTACACAGAGACAGAACACAAGATACAGACAACACAAACAAAGCGAGGGCGCATTGGGTTGGACAGAAAATCAGGATAACACTGTCAGAACATTATAGCTTCTGCTTTTGTGCTGAGCCTGAGGGTGCTACTACTGGGGGTGCTGAGCCTAGGGGTGCTGAGCCTGGGGGTGCTGCGACTGGGGGTGCTGAGCCTGGGGGTGCTGAGCCTGGGGGTGCTGCGACTAGGGGTGCTGAGCCTAGGGGTGCTACGCCTCGGGGTGCTGTGCCTGGGGGTGCTGAGCCTGAGGGTGCTAAGCTTGGAGGTGCTACGCCTGGAGGTCCTCCGGGGGCTTCGTCTCGCCGGGAGCCATTCTCTCCACCGGAGCTGCGCGAGTGGTTTGCCCGGCGCTGGAGGCGTGCTGCTGGAGCTGGAGGTTCTTCGGCTGCTGAGGGTGCTAGTGCCGCGGGTCCCGGAGGTGCTCGTACTGGGAGTACTGGAGCTGCTGGGCCTGCGGGTTTGACTGGAGCTAGTGCTGGTGCGGGCGTTGGTACTGAGCCTACTGCTCGCGGTCCTGCTGGGGGTACTACTAGTGCTGCTGGAGGTTCTAGAGCTACTGGAGGTGCTGCTGGAGCGGGTGCTCCTGCAAGGGGTAATGGTGCTGTCCCTGCTGTGTCTGGTGTCGCCGCACAGCCTCGAACGTACTTCGTTCCACTCCTGCAGCAGGTTCTTGGTCTTCCACCTTCTACAGGTCCTCCTTCTTTAGAGTGTCCACAGCCTGTCCAGTCACAGTTATAGTTACAGCCTGCCTCCCCTCTACCTGCTCCCTCTCCCTAAACTGGTCCTACCGGAGGTCTTGCTGAGCGTCGTGAGCCTGCGTCTCGCCCTGCGTCGCCTGTCCGTGCTGCTCGCACTAGTGGTCGTGGTTCGCGCCAGCGTCCTCCTCCTGTCCTTGGCACGCACAGGATGTCTCTGCGTCCGTCCATTGCTCCTCTGCGTGCCCCTTTGCCTTCTCCTCCTGAGTCCTCTTTTTTTGCTCTTGCCGACCCGGCGTCGGACTCTCTTCGTGCTGCCACTCCTACTGTCACACGTCTCTTTGCTACTGTCGTCACTGACCCTTCTTTCGAGTCCACTGCTGCGTTTGCCCTATTTACTGAGCTCGTCGACTTTGCTGCTCGCTGTCGCCTAGACTACGCTGCTAGTCTTGTCGCTGAGTCTGAGTCTGTCTGTCCTCCGTCCGTCGGGGGTGAGTGTGCCCTTGGCTCGGACGCCCTTGAGGACAGGCACGAGAAGTTCCAGTGCCTGGCCGCTGCTTCACCTCATCTCGTGTCCGTACTGCTTACCCCTGAGGGAGACCCGGATGCACTTGACATCTCGACTCCGCGCTCTTACGCGGAGGCGATAGAGGGTCCCTATTCCTCTCACTGGCAGGTAGCTATGGATGCAGGGATGGCTTTGTGGAAGTCCACAAGCACCTACGTTGACGCTGTCCCCCCTCTTGGGGCGAACATCGTCAGTGGCATGAGGATTTTCAGGGTGAAGCGGCCGCCGGGTTCTCCGCCAGTCTTCAAGGCGCGTTACGTGGCTCGTGGATTCAGTCAACGGCAGGGAGTTGACTACTTTCAGACCTTCTCTCCCACCCCGAAGATGACCACTCTTCGGGTACTGCTGCACGTAGCTGCTCACCGTGACTACGAGCTACACTCTCTTGACTTCAGCACTGCTTTCTTGCAGGGCAGCCTGCACGAGGTGATGTGGCTGCGCCGCCCACCTGGCTTCATTGGGACTTTTCCTCCTGGCACCCAGTGGAGCCTCCGGCGGCCAGTCTACGGTCTCCGCCAGGCACCGCGTCAGTGGCACAACACACTGAGGACTACGCTTGCGGCTCTTGGGTTTGCTCCTTCTACAGCCGACCCGTCGCTGTTTCTGCGCACCAACACTTCTTTGTCGCCGTTCTACATCCTCGTGTACGTCGACGACTTGGTCTTTGCCACAGCTGACACTGCTGGACTCGCCCACGTGAAGTCCAAGCTGCAGAAGAGACACACGTGCATAGACCTGGGTGAACTGCGCAGCTACCTTGGCTTGCAGATCACCCGGGACAGAGCACGCCGCACCATTACCCTGACTCAGTCACACATGGTGCAGCAGGTCCTTCAGCGCTTCAGCTTCACGTACTCCTCGCCTCAGGCCACTCCTCTGCTTACTCGCCACTCACTCCCAGCTCTGCCTTCGGATGAATCCGTAGAGTCAAGTGGCCCGTATCCAGAGCTTGTTGGCTGCCTCATGTACCTGATGACCTGCACACGACCTGACCTTGCATACCCTCTTAGCATTCTCGCACGCTATGTTGCTCCTGGGAGACAACGACCACAGCACATGGCTGCAGCGAAGAGGGTGTTGCGCTACTTGTGGAGTACGTCGGGCATGGGATTAGTGCTTGGAGGGCGCAGTCCAGTGGTCCTCATTGGGCACGCAGACGCTTTCTCGGCTGACGACCAGGCTATACAACGGTTGTCATAGGGTTAGACCTTCAGCCTTGGTTCCGGCTCTGTCTCGTGGCGGGCTACTCGCTCGTCTCCTATTCTCGGCTCCAGTTGTGAGGCCGAGATCTATGTTGGGGCCATGGCTGCACAGGAGCTTCGCTGGCTCACCTACCTGCTGACTGACCTCGGAGAGCCGCCTCGTTCTCCTCCAATTCTGTACGTAGACAACAAGGCCATGCTGGCCTTGTGTCGAGAGCAGCGAGTGGAGCACAGAACAAAGCACATTGCTCTTCGCTACTTCCTTGCTCGTGAGCTATAGCAGCGTGGACAGTTGCGGCCTGCGTACGTGGCCTCTGAGGCCAACACTGCTGATGTTTTCACCAAGGCACTTCCGCCTTGTGATCATCAGCGCTTCTGCACTCAGCTGGGTCTTGTCCCTGTCTTGCCTCACTTGCTCACCTCTTGACCTTGCTTGTACTGTTACATATATATATATACCTGCTCTTGCTTGTCTAGCTTTATATATATATGTACTCCTGCATGTGAACTGGCCTAGTGGCCTTGAACTTGTGCTCGGAATGTGTGGTGACTTTGTGATCCACCCTGAGCTTGCTTTGCTTTCCTTTGCTTGACTGGTCTTGTGACCCCTTGTTCTCCCCCACTTTGCCTATGGGGGTGTGACAGAACATTATAGCTTCTGCTTTTGTGTAGGCTATAGTGGGGTATCCCATAGGGGGTACAACCCAATTAGGGTTAGTACTTGTACCAAGTTCATTCATATTTCATTCATTATCGTTTCTTCTCAAACACCGTGGAGTTTTGCGCGACAATAAGGTAAATACCATGGTCCTTATGCGCCAAGACCTGCCAACTCACGACGACTTCCAGAAGATGATTCCCTGCGGAAACATCTGAGTAGTGGCGAATACATTTGAGTAAGACGCACAACGAGATCTGAAGATATGCAGAAAGGCGATGGCAACGAAATAAGAATATGTCGGAAATATTAGGCGGGAATGGATGAACTAGAACAGAGTTGGGTACAAATATGAAATCCTATTGGGGCTATACCCCATGTTGGCTACCCCACTATAGCCTAGACATATATAGCATATATATCAATTGACACACCCCCATAGGCAAAGTGGGGGAGAGCAAGGGGTCACAAGACTAGTCAAGAGAGGCAAAGCAACCTCAAGGTGGATCACAACGTCACCACACACACAAAGCACAAGCAAAGGGCCACAAGGCCAGTTCACATGCAGAGGTATATATGTAACAACAACATCATAGTGACCTCTACCGAGCAAGAACAAGCATGTATGTATATATATATATATCATAGTAGGTAAGCCAGTGTAACTCCTGAGCAGCCATGGCTATGGTGTAGATCCCAGCCTCGCAACTGGAGCTGAGAACGGAGGAAGAGCGTGTGGACCGCCAAGAAACAAAGCCAGAGCCAAGGCTGAAGGTGTAACCCTGTGACGATCGCTGCGCAGCCAGGTCGTCTACCCGAGAAGCGTCTGAGTGACGAGTGAGGACAACGTCGCCCCGTCCTCCAAGCACGAGCCCCATGCCCGACGTACTGCACAAGTAGCGTAGTACCCTCTTAGCAGCATGCATGTGCACCTTTCAGTGCCAACCAGGAGCCACGTAGAAAGCCATAAGGCCAAGAGGGTACGCAAGGTCAGGACGAGTGCAGGTCATCAGGTACATGAGGCAACCCACTAGCTCTGGGTAAGGACCACTCGGCTCTACGGACTCATCCGAAGGTGGAGCTGAGAGCGAGTGACCTGTAGCCAGAGGAGTGGCCTGTGCTGAGGACCAGGTGAAGCCGAAGCGCTGAAGGACCTGCTGCACCATGTGTGACTGAGTCTGTGTGATGGTGCGGCGTGCTCTGTCCCGGGTGATCTGCAAGCCAAGGTAGCTGCGCAGCTCACCCAGGCCTGTGCACGTGTGTCTCTTCTGCAACTCCGACTTCACTAGGGCGAGAGACTAAGTGTCAGCAGTGGCAAAGACCAAGTCATCGACGTACACGAGGATGTAGAATGGCGGCAGCGAAGTGTCGGTGCGCAGAAACAGCGACGGGTCAGCAGTCGACGGAGCAAACCCAAGAGCCGCAAGTGTCGTCCTCAGTGTGTCGTGCCACTCGCGCGGTGACTGACGGAGATCGTAGACTGGCCGCCGGAGGCTCCACTGGGTACTAGGAGGGAACGACCCAGTGAAGCCAGGTGGGCGGCGCAGCCAGATCTCCTCGTGCAGGCTGCCCTGTAGGAAGGCTGTGCTGAAGTCAAGAGAATGAAGCTCGTAGTCACGCTGAGCGGCAACGTGTAGCAGTACCCGAAGAGTGGTCATCTTCGGGGTGGGGGAGAAGGTCTGGAAGAAGTCAACTCCCTCTCGCTGACTGAAGCCTCGTGCAACGTAACACGCCTTGAAGACAGGCGGAGAACCCGACGGCCGCTTCACCCTGAAAATCCACATGCCACTCACGATGTTCGCCCCATGTGGGGGAACGTCGTCGACGTAGGTGCCTGTGGACTTCTAGGAAGTGGTCTCTGCGTCCATGGCTGTCTGCCACTGAGAGGAGTAGGGACCCTCTATCGCCTCTGCATAAGAGCGCGGGGTCGGGATGTCTGGTGCATCCGGGTCTCCCTCAGGTGCAAGCAGCATGGACACGAGATGAGGCGCAGCGGCTGCAAGACACTCAAGGTCCTCTTGCTTGTCCTCAAGGACGTCCGTGCGAAGAGCACACTCACCCCCGACGGATGGAGGACAGACAGACTCAGACTCAACAACAAGACTAGCGGCGTAGTCCAGACGACAGGCAGCAGCAAAATCAACAAGCTCAGCAACGAAGGTAGACGCAGCAGCAGACTCAAACGACGGGTCAGTGACAACAGTGGCGAGCAGACGTGTGACAATAGGGTGCTCAGCACGAAACCGGTCTGACTCAGGGTCAGCAAAGATAGGCAGACAAGACACAGGAGGAGACGGCAGAGGAACACGCTGCGGAGCAGAGAAAGGATGCAAAGCCAAAATTTGTGTGCCGGGGACAGCCCGCGGACGCGGACGAGGAACACGACGACCAGTACGACCAGTGCGGACATTGCAAACAGGCGAGACAGGACGAGACGCAGGCTCACGATGCTCAGCAAGACCTCTTGTTAGCTCACTGTAGGGAGAAGGAGCAGGCAGCTGTGAGCCAGGCTATAACGGAAGACCAATAGAAGACCTGTAGAAGACGGGAGGCCAAGAACCTGGCGAAGCACGGAGCCAGGGAGCGGCAAAGACGAAGGTGACGGCGGAGCGAAGAACAGTCGCGGCTGCGCAGTGCCACCAGCACCAGCAGCTCCAGCACCTCCAGCTGCTGCAGAACCTCCAGTTCCAGCGCCTCCAGCGCCAGCACTGCCAGCAGTTACAGAACCTCCAGCGCCAGCACCTCCAGCTCCAGTGCCTCTAGTAGCTCTAGAACCTCCAGCTCCAGCACCTCCAGTGCCAGCACCTCCACCAGCTCCCGAGCCTCCAGAAGCCCCAGAACCTCCAGCGCCAGCACCTCTAAGAGCTCCAGAACCTCCAACGCTAGCACCTACAGTGCCAGCACCACCAGCAGCAGCAGCACCCCCAGAACCAGCACCACCAGCCCCAGGGTCTCCAGCCTCAGTGTCGACAGCAGCACCTCAAGTTCCAGCACTACCTCCAGCCCCAGCAGCTCCAGTACCTCCAGTACGAGCACCTCCGGGACCAAGGGCTCCAGGAACTCCAGGAGAAACACCTCCAATAGCCGAGTCACCAGCTCCAGAGCCTCCAACGCCAGTGCCCCCCGCAGCAGGGCCCCCAGCTCCAGCAGCGCGAACTTGACGGCTAGCGTACCACTCACGCAGCTGTTGTGGGGAGAGCGGGACAGCGCCACCGCCAGTGCCTCCAACCCCAGCGCCTCCCGCAGCAGGGTCCCTAGCTCCAGCAGCGCGAACTTGACGGCTAGCGTACCACTCACGCAGCTGCTGTGGGGAGAGAGGGAGACAACGACGAGATTGCAGCAACGAGGCACCAGCGGAGCGACTACGGAGACGGCCACTCCAGGGAGACTGCTCACCAGACCCCCCAGCGGCCCCACGTGCAGCACCCCCAGACTCAGTACCTCCAGGCTCAGCACCCCCAAGCTCCTAAAGCTCAGGCTCAGCACCTCCAGTCTCCGCACCCCCAGGCTCAGCAACCCTGGGCTCCGCACCCCCAGGCTCAGCACCCCCAGGCTCTGCACCCCCAGGCTCAGCACCCCCAGACGCAGCACCCCGAGCAGGACCACCCCCAGCAGTACCTGAGTCACCAGTGACCTCAACCGGCTCAAGCAAGGGAGGAGGGTCTACCTAAGACACACCTGAAGGAGCACGACCGGGAGCGGGGAGGGGGTCTACCTGGGGAGGACCTGGAGCGAGGAAGAGCGGCCAGGGGGGGGGGGGGAGAGGGGCAGTTTGGTAGGGGAAGAGACGGTAAAAGGGAACCATCTCGTTGAACGTGACGTCCTGAGAGGGGAAGACACGGCGCGAGATGGGGTGGTCAAACTGCCAACCAGGCGCGTCAGGGACAAAGCCAAGGAAGACACAGGGAATAGCGTGGGCGGAGAGCTTGTCTGCGGTGGTATCGC